ACACACACTCACACACACACACACACACACACACAATGCAGGTACATGAAGTTGTTGTTCCCTATTTCAACAGTTCCTCTTTCACATTCTAAAGCGATAAAACAAAAGAAACTACAGAGCAGAAAAGAAAAAGAAAAACGAAACGATGGACGATGTGATTCATGGAGAACGAAAGTGTGACAAATACGACAGGGGACGACGAACCACAACAGTTTTGTCTTTACCAAACAGTGCATTGCTGTTTCGGCCCTTCCTCATGAAGTACATGGCCCACGAGATCGGTCCGGACGCTTTGAAGGGGCCCGGATTCATTTCGAGCCGTTCTGATTCAATCCAGGATTCCAAATACGAATTCCCTCCTTCTCCTCGGTGCATTTATAGCCTGACGTCTCCCACCGCGCTGCTCCATATTACACAAAACACAGATTCAGAGAAGAGGCGACGGAGGAAAAGTTGACACGCAGTCATGACTAATATATCCCATCAGTAAGCATGGCCTCAGGAGACACTGCCCCGGGGCACTTCTAACCTGCTCATTTCATTTAGCCACTGATTTCACCGTCTCTTGCTTTCTCCATCTCCATGCAGTGAAAATGGTGAAATTAGGCATGAGGGAGCAGGTGAAGTGTGCGAAGAAGAGCTCGGGAACTCTTAAAAATTAAGGTGTAACTTAAAAAAAAAAGAAGGCAAAACACAAAAAGGCAAAACAGATTCATTTTTGACTTTCATTACTGAACGTTGAGTTGTTGATGTTACATTATAGGTTGAAGTACATGGCCCACGAGATCGGTCCGGACGCTTTGAAGGGGCCCGGATTCATTTCGAGCCGTTCTGATTCAATCCAGGATTCCAAATACGAATTCCCTCCTTCTCCTCGGTGCATTTATAGCCTGACGTCTCCCACCGCGCTGCTCCATATTACACAAAACACAGATTCAGAGAAGAGGCGACGGAGGAAAAGTTGACACGCAGTCATGACTAATATATCCCATCAGTAAGCATGGCCTCAGGAGACACTGCCCCGGGGCACTTCTAACCTGCTCATTTCATTTAGCCACTGATTTCACCGTCTCTTGCTTTCTCCATCTCCATGCAGTGAAAATGGTGAAATTAGGCATGAGGGAGCAGGTGAAGTGTGCGAAGAAGAGCTCGGGAACTCTTAAAAATTAAGGTGTAACTTAAAAAAAAATGAAGGCAAAACACACAAAAAGGCAAAACAGATTCATTTTTGACTTTAATTACTGAACGTTGAGTTGTTGATGTTACATTATAGGTTCTTCTGATCAGTTTGTGATCCATGTGCATGTTTTTTTTTACAGAACTAGAGAACGCAAAAACGTTAAAAAAAAATAATTTTGCGTTAAACTGATCAAAAGTGACAATACAGACAATGATAATGTTACAAAAGATGTCAAATGAATGCTGTTCTTTTTAAGAATGCTGAAAAATAAAATTTTCCACAGTTTCCACACAAATATTGGGCAGCACAACTGTTTTCAACATTGATAATAATCAGAAATATTTCTTGAGCAGCAAATCAGCATATTAGAATGATTTCTGAAGATCATGTGACACTGAAGACTGGAGTAATGATGCTGAAAATACAGCTGCGCATCACAGAAATAAATTACAGTTTAACAGATATTCACATAGAAAACAGATTTTTAAATTGTAATAACATTTCACAATTTTTACTGTATTTTTGATCAAATAAATGTAGCCTTGGTGAGCAAAAAATTCAGCTTTTAAGAAAATAAAAAAAAAATCTTACCAACCCCAAACTTTTGAACGGTTGAATACAGAAATATATTCATAAAACAATTCTATCTAATTAAACATTGATTATTTTATCCAATATCTGTGTTATGTATCTTATGCTTATTGGAGTTATCATGCCATTAGCTTATACTTATCTAATAAAAAAGTATTCTCAAATCAGTCTCTATTTACATTTACAGTATGCATTTGCATTTATGCACAATACCAAAGTCATGCGTTTTTGAGTCCCAGTGACTTCATGAACTGATAAAATGTATATTCTGAATGCATTACAAGTCTGTCAAATGGATCAATTGTGAATGTAAAATGCATTTGGCTCTTGCATATCATTGAAGGTGCACATTTATGCATTACCTGTGAACCAAACTCATGACTTGTGCATAAATGTAAATGTATGACCCATGACCTTGCTGCCTCTGTAGTGAATGGTGGATCTGCCAGTGACTGTAGCGGTTGTTGATTGGTGTCTATGTCTATTTTGGTCTCCATATGAAAGCTGGCATCAGAGATTTCAAACTCACACTGGCAAAGACTCAATTCAGACCGCAGATGGAGTTTCAAAGGGTTCGGAGGACTTCGGCTGTCTGGGTGGGGAGCAGGAAAAGGTTGGTAAGCCACAGTAAGTCGTGCCAGTCGTAACATCAGGACTGGGGTGTGTTTGACAGGCTGTCACTGCCGATACCACATAGATGTGGAAAGATTCAAGATTCAATAGACCACATGGCTGTCTAGCGATTAGCGAACTCTCGAAAAATACACATCTCTACAGTCTTAGCTTTTTCATTTTTACATGCACACTAACGGCA